GAGCTTCTGTTTTATGGGGTGTTATTGAGGATTCAGGCTGATTTTGTCAAATTCTCAGCAGGGATATTTTAAGAAATAAGGTTTTAGACATAAAGTGATATCCTTGTAAAAAGGATTATTTTGTCAAAGTCCATATTTTATCTATCTTTTGTAATTGTCTTTTTTATCTTACATATTACATCAAGTAAGAAATAAGGGTTGAATTTTTCTTTTTTAACAGAAATGATATGACTATGAGGTACACTTGCTTAGGTTAAACAAATCTCTCTTATATAATTCCTTCCTGAATTATAGAAGTAGTGAATGTTCCAGATTTGCATTATCTTGTAGAAAAAATACAAATGTTAACTTGGTCTATAGTCATAGGAAGGAACTAAAAAAAAAGAGAGAATCTAGATGATTTGATGGGCTGATTTTTTTTTTGGACTGGTACTGGACGGCTAAAACTGCTAGCTTGTCTTGTCTTAGACTCTCCAAAGCCATTAGTCTCATGAAGATAAAAAAGAAACCAGATCAGAGAAAAACTGAAATGAGCACTAGATTGTCAACCACTCTATTTCTGAATTTTGTGCGCCAAACCATTATCTGAGGCATCCAAAATAAGTAAACTTGCTGAACTTCCCCAAGTTTCATCTTGCAAGTTATATTCCTCCATCTTTAATTATTTTTATTCCTCGATATATTGAAATGCTATGTTGAATTAATAAATTTATCTAGTCAAAGAAACAAGAGAAGTAAAAGAAATGATTCAAGGTAGATAGAGCCATCAGATGGAGCTGTCGAGAGGACATTTCAAAGGAGAGTTTGGGTGGAAGATAAAATTAGAAAGTTGTTGGCAGTTGAATCCATGGGGATGGATGAGATTGGCTGCGTTTAGAATGTGCCTCAGTCCCAGCCACACTTACATGTCAGGTAAAGGAGGCGTGATTGGCAAAAGTACATAGAAGAAAAAGAGAGGTTAGAGAAAAACTGGAGAATATGATAACATGAAGGCCAATGGGAAAAAGTGTTTCAGTGGAGGAAGTAGTTGATTTTGTTGAATGATTCTGAAACATGAGGATTATAAAGAGAGCATTTGAGTAAATAACCCAAAAAATAACTGATGGCTTCAACAAGTGTGATTTCCATACAGTGGAAGAAGCAGAAGGTAGATTAGAGATTAAGGATTGAGGATTTAGAGAAACTGCAAGAGTGTCATTTAACAATGAGGATTTATTCTGAGAAAATAGGCAATTTTGTCACTGCACAAATATAGAGTGGAATTACTCAGGTCTAGATGGCTCGTCCCATTACATATCTAGGCTTTATAATATAGTCTTACTGTGACCATCTTCACATATGCTATCTGTCATTGACAGATACATTGTTAAGTGAGTGACTCAGTTATATAGGCAACTTTAGAATAGAACTTCAAGATTAGAGAAGATAGTGGTAGTAACTGTAGAAGTATATGGTTTCCAGAGAATATTTCTTTAGAGGGAGAGGGAGATCTGGCTGGATAAAATGTAATCCGTTGGTTTAGTTGGGTTTTGCTATCATGAGATAGATTAAACCATGTGTAAGTGCTACTAGGAATGGCCTAATAAAGAGGAAATAAAATAAGGAGAAAAGAATGAGTATTCTTGAGGAAAACCTGAGGTGATGGAATTTAGAATTAAGAAGATAAACTTTGTTGGAAAAAAAGGAAAGGATTTTACTGTACAAAATTCCCATCTAATAACGTCCATTTTTCCAGTGAAATGGGAGGCAAGATTAAAGCTGAGATCTAAAGAGGTTTTCAGGAATTTGAAGATCAAACCATCAGGTAGTTTTAATGGCCTAGAAGAGGTCACTGACCTTTAATTGATAGTGATTCCAATCTGCCAATTGTGTTTTGTTTTTCTCCAATTGTTCTAGGTATCCTGAGTTCTAATTTAGAGATGACATATGATCCATATAGAATTAGAAATTTCCAGAACAATAATTAAAATGAATTACTAGAGTCAAATCAGTAATAGGAAGAAAATAGGGGATAGAAAAAAGTGATCGATGGAGAGATGAAGGAGCAAGTCAAGTGAAGTATCAAGCAGAACAACAGTGGTAATAAAAAGGAAGGAAGAGTGTGAGTGAGCTGCAATATGTTTCTACTATTTGGTTAAGACATGGCATAGTTCCAAGTCCTACGAGTTTCTCAGTATCCTGAAAATGGATATAAAGCAGATGGACGGGGGTATGGTGCCACCAGCAGGTCAATTTGTACCTGTGAGGAGAGTGTATCAGCAGCCTGATGGTGCCTTCAGACTTCCAGATACCCCCAAATTGCTGCTGTGCCTTTGGCCAGACCCCAAGAACTTGGGGCAAAGTTTACCAAGAAAGTAAAAGGCCAAAAGTTAGGTATGTGGGAGCCACACCCACAAACCACCTCTGGCTCAGCTATATAATTGGAGGCATGGCCTCTCTGGTTCCTGATTGAACTGCTTAACGGCCATGATCCAGAGACTCAGAAACAAATCTTGAAACCCAATGGCTTTCGGCAGAAATGCGTCCGGTCCCTGTAGTAAGTTAGGTGCTGGGCCACCCCAGATGGGAATAGGTTTCGTGCCTTGGCCTGTTTCCCCTGGAGGCCTAGTGGCCGCCATCCTACAGAAACCAGTCAGGTTTGGGCCCGCAGTGATGAGACACATGGGGCCTCACAGGATGGTGGTGGAGCCAGCCCTTTCCTCCCCATGCCATCGAGACCCCGAGATGCCGTCCACGAATGGCCTCTCTGGCTCCTGATCAAGCTGCTTAACGGCCATGATCCCAGAGACTTAGAAATAAATCTTGAAACTCAGAGGCTTTTGGCAGAAATGCATCTGGAACCCACAGTAGGTTACTGTTGTCGGGCCACCCCAGGCAGGAAAGAGTGTTGTCCCTCCGCCTGCTCCCCCTTCGTGACACGGTGGCCGCCATCTTCCAGAGGCCACTGGACAGTCAGGTTTGGGCCCTCAGTAACGAGACACGTGGGGCCTCATGGGATGGGGGTGGAGCCGGCTCTTTACTCCCCACCCCAGCAAGACCCCGAGTCGCTGCCCACAAATGGCCTCTCTGTCACCTGATCAAGCTGCTTAATGGCCATGATCCCAGAGACTCAGGAACAAATCTCAGAACCCAGCAGATTTTGGCAAGAAATCCCTCCGGATTTAATTGTTAAAATTTTGAAATTTCAAAATTGCGTGGCCACTACCGCAGCCACACGACATCATATGTTATTCATAACCAGCAATAGAAAACAAATTGTCTACTGTTGCCTTTTCGGCAGATCTGAGTGTTGGGATAAAAATCCCAAATAATAATGGTGAGTGTGGTTTCGAAATGTTGAATATAATCAAAGTATAGAGAGAGTAATTTGGAAATCATCTGCCCCACAGGTAGGGGGAAGGTTTGGGATGGGGGCATACTGGAAATTTTGGTGGTGGATAATGGGCACTGGTGAAGGTACGAGTGTTTCATTTTATGACTGAGACTTAAACCCGAAAGCTTGTAACTGCTCTCACAGTGATTCAATAAATAAAATTATAAAAAATGGGGGAAAAAAGTAAGGTAGAGTTCATGCACAATTCAATCAGCCTAATCAGTGACTGAATAAATAGCAGTACTCCTACATTAAAAAAAAAGATAAAAAATTCACTGGAATCACAAATAGTTTGTTTACATATACATTAAAGTCATCTGCTGCTGTAACAACAATAACTGGAAATGATCACTCTGGACAAGAGCTGAGGGTTAAAAGTAAGTAAGGAATATGCTGGATAACCTTTCTGTATCGATATTGCAAACCACTATGCCCAAAAGGAGAGAGAGAAAGAGATAGTGAGAGTGAGAGAGAGAGAGAGAGATAAGAAAAGTGCCTGCCACAGAGGTAATCAGGGGTTGGAAGTTGAAGGATGATGGGAGGGCACCTGGGAACACTGGTACTGGGAAATGTATACTGGTGGAGGAATGGTGTTGGAATACTGTATGACTGGAATCCAATTATGAACAACTTTGTAGAAAGAAATAAATAAAATTAAAATAAAGTCATGTAAATTAATGGATGGAATTACAGTGGAAAGGAATATAGAACCTAGTGACAAAATCATCTATAACGAAGTAACTAGGAGGTCAGATAAAAGCAGACAAGAAATAAAACACAATGGGACTAGAGCGATAGTACAATAGGTAAGATGTTTGCCCTGCATGGGATCTACCCGGGTTCAGTCCCTGGCACCCCATAAAGTCCCCCAAGCTCCTTCAGGGATCAGAGCCAGGAGTAAGCCCTAAGCACTGTTAGGTGCAGCCAAAAATTAATAATAAATAAATAAAACCAGCACATGCTTCAACATGTAGAGAAGTAACTAGAAAGTGAAAGTGCAGTGGTTGACAGTATCACTGGGGAGGACGTTGGCCTCCACACTCCAAGCTGGAGTTACACGGAAGGTAAAGTGGCCTCCATTTGCGAGACTGCTAGATGAAGTCTTGGTCTCATCAACTGACTGAATTTAGGAAAGACAAAGAGGAATCTCCAAAGTATAGTTTGAAGATATTGGTGTAGAAATTCTCTTTTTTCACTTCACTGTACATAGTGCTTGGGTTTGCTGAGGTAAACAAATGTTGGCTTAAGAGGCTACAGCAATAATACCATGGGTGGGACTTGGCTAACCCATGTCCTATCACCTGCATCCCATATGGTTCCCTGGGCCTGTCTGGAATGATCCCAGGAGTAATCCCTGAGCATCACTGGGTATGGATTCAAAAAATATATATTTTTGGCTTTAGTCATGGGCTCTGTGATAGAGGAAAAAAATATTTTTATATTTTTGTCCCCAAACCTAGAATGCCATGAGACACCTGGCAATGTTCTAACAAGTATTTTACCTTTAATTGAATGTTTAATTCTCAGTCTTTTGCTGATTCTGCATTCTACTGTGACTTTCTGAATGCCAGTAATCATGATACAATAATTTAGATGCAGATCCCAAAATTAGAAGATTCACTGGTACCTGTATTTTCCTCCGCACACATCTGATGATTAGATCCCTGTTAGCAGCTTGTCTTGGTATCATTTGCTTCTTTTTCCCTAAAAGTGAAGCAATAGAATGTGTTCTGGTTAATTCAGTGCTTTAATTGCTTAGGTTCTAATTAATTCAAGTTTGTTATGTACATGGAGTATCACTTTCTTAATCCTGAGAAGAATTATGACATCTGATCTAGATGGCGTCTGTCAGTTGTGGGGAAGGAGAAAGTTGTAATCAAAAAATCACATGCAAGTCTTTGCGGCAGGGGAAAGAAGGGGACCACTCCTGATATTGTTGGGGGGGACCAACCATATGCAGTACTAGTCATCAAACCTTGCAAGTTGGTCACATGCAAGCCAAGAGCCTCATTTTCTGTACTCTATTCCAGTTCACATGGAAGTCTTTTAATATACACCTCATCACTGTGGAGGAAACATAAAATTATCTTTAGTCATTTCTCCTAATAAATATGAGTCTTACAAACATGATGGAGCTGGGGTGGGGTTTGGACAATATCAGCAGTGCACAGGGGTTACACCAATGCTCAGGGATTGCTTGTTGTGGACCGTGCAGTGCCAGGGATTTAATCCAGGCTCCCACAAGCTTGGTGTGTGGCATATACTCTAATCCTTTGAGCTATTTTTTCCTACATGAATATGATTTTTGTTTATAATACTAATAAATTAAATTCCAGAATGTTGTTATAAAAATGCAACAAATAAAAATTATCTTCACAAGAGGCTGGAGCAATAGTACAGTGGGTAGGACTCTTGCCTTGCACATGGCCAACCCAGATTTGATCCCTAGCAGCATATATGGTTCCCCAAGCCTGCAGGAGTGATCCCTGAGAGCAGAGCAGAGTAATACCTTAACACCACCGGTTGTGGTCCAAAAACAAACAAACAAAAAAATTATCTTCACAAGGCCAAAGAGAGAATATACCAGCTAAGGTATTTGTTTGCACACAGCTGACCTGGGTTCGATCATTGGCATCCCATTTGGTCTCCTGAACACACCTAGAAATGATCCCTGAGCACAGACCCAGAAGTGAGCCCTGAGCACCGCCAGGTGTGGTCCAAAAACAAACCAAAAATGTTATCTTCACAATAGAGAATTTCAAGAAATGAATTGAGGAATGTCCTCTTTCCCTACAGTTCTGGAAAGAGAGACTATTTTTTGCATAGTACACTCAATCAACGTATGCAACTTGAGGCATTACATTCAGAATTTCTTTTTTGTTTGCTTGTTGTTTGGGGACCATACCCAGATGTGCTCAGGGCTTACTCCTAGATCTGTGCTCAAGGATCAATCCTGGTGGTGCTCTGGGACCATATATGGTGCCAGTGATTGAACCTGGGTCAGCCACATGTGAGGCAACTGCCCTACCTCCTGTACTATTGTTCAGGCTTCTAAATTCAGAATTTCTACAGAATTATCAACTGTGTTTTCTCATGCAATATAGGAATTTATGTGATTATGCATAACCATTTGTCTTATTCTTTTAAATATAGATCGTATCTTAGAGCTGTTTGATAAGGTTATGAATATCTCTGAAAATAACCTTCTGGGCCAAGAGAATTTGCTTAAAAGGCTATAAATTACACTTTGCTGGAGGAGGCCCGGATTCGATCCCCAGCACTGAGTGGTCTCCCTAGCAACACCAGAAGCAACCCCTGAGCAAAGTGTAATCACTGACTACCACTAGAGATGACAGAAAAAAAAAAATAAGTAAATAAAAAACCCAACCTCCTACAGATTTTATTGTGGTTTGAGTTAATAAATCCTTTTCCTAGTAGTCATTACACAATCAATGATTCATAATTAGTTGTGTAAATCTTTGTAAATCAAATGAGGATCACTGGCATGTTCTTCTCCTCCTCTCTATTTGTCAAAATTGACATTATGCAAGCTTTTAAAAGTCTGTCACCCTCCGTGATCACAGCTGGCCCACCTCCACACCTCAGCTCTCTGCTTGCTCTCCAACCCTTTCAGATGAGGTTAAGCTCCCGGCCAACATCCTGATGCATTTTTGGAACTAGAAAAGGATTCTCCTCCCTTGTAACCAGGTCCAGCAGCCTCCACACTCAACCTCTGCCTTCCCCACAGGACCTGCTCTTCATTTCCTGAACTACACAACCCTTACATGGCCACATGATAACTCAATTCATCATACCTCACACTGCTCATATTTATTCCTCCTATCACTGCTTTTCGATTCCACTGTTCTTCCTGCATTAACATACGCCTCAGAGACCTGGGCCCTACACAAACAGCATGAGAACGCTATTCAGGTCTCCCAAAGAGGAATTGAAAGAGTTATGCTTGGAGTATCACATTTCACTCAAATGAGCGAAAGAATCCGGAGTTCTGACCTCCATCGACGATCAAGAATCAGGGAGGCTGTTTTGTTTGCCAAGGCGTCAAAAATCAGATGGGCTGGATACGTAATGATATTTAGAGACGACCGCCAGACTAGAGCCGTTACCAACTGGATTCCAAGGGACGTCAAAAGACCACGTGGCCGCCCACCTACCAGATGGTCAGACTTCTTCATCAAGATCATGAACGATCAGTTTGAGGCTCTTCGTGTTCCTAGAATGAACAGACGCCATTGGGCTACACTAGCACGCAACAGGGACAAATGGAGACGTTACTGGTGCCCGCTGGAGCAAATCGACGATTAACGGGAAGTCAAGTGATCAAGTGATCAAGTGATCACTGCTCAAAGACAGGCAAGGAAGGAAAAAAGCAACTTCCCAGCTCAAGAACTCCCAGTGGAGCTGACTATAAAGATTCACCTTCTGCACAACAGGAGCACAGCAAACCTTATGAGGAATGCACACAGAAACCCACCAAGATCAACAAGTAAAAATAATAAGATGGAGGGATCTATCAGTAACAACTATCTCTGTAAATGCTCAGAGAATAACTTTAGTGACATGACGTTGAAGGTTTTTGAATTCAAAGCAACGATGGCACAGATAGTCAGCAAAGCACAAGAAAGTTTGAGAGAGGAAATGAGAAAACTACAATAAGAAGTGACTGGGGCTGGAGCGATAGTACAGCGGGTAGGGCATTTGCCTTGCACGCGGCCAACCCGGGTTCGATTCCCAGCATCCCATATGGTCCCCTAAGCACCACCAGAAGTAATTCCTGAGTGCAAAGCCAGGAATAACCCCTAACCATTGCCAGGTGTGACCCAAAAAGAAAAAAAAATGACAGTAATAAAGTATGGGAGGTGATTTAAAAAAAAAAAACCCTCAGTGAAAGATCTGAGAAGGACTGAGCAATAAAACAGCAGTTAGGGTGCTTGCCTTACATACGGCCAACCCAAGTTCATCTGTGGCACTGATACTGTTCCCTGAGCACCACCAGGAGTGATTTCTGAGCACAAAGCCAATGTGCTGAGTGAGAAATAAATAAATAAACAAACAAACAGAAAAGGCCTGAGCTGCAGAATAACAGTAACTAAGGAAAAGATGGATGAGCTTTAAGATAAGAAACCTCTGTAAGCAAAATGAATCAGAAAGAAAGGGACAGACATAGAAAGACTGCATTCATCTGGGGGACATAGAGTAACAAAATCGGAGACTAACACCCAAGAATAGCCAAGATAAATACCAGGAGGTTTACTCCATGGCTTGGAGGTCAGCCACACACGCTAGGGGGAAAGGCAGCTCAGATAGAGAAGGGAGCACCAAATAAAGGGTGTTGGGAGGATCCTCCCAGGATGGGAGATGCATGCTGAAAGTAGACTATAGACTGAACATGATTGCCACTCAATGCCGCTTTTGCAAACCACAGCACCCAAAAGAAGAGAGAGAACAAAAGGGAATGCCCTGCCACAGAGGCAGGGTGGGATGGGAGGGATGGGGGGTGGGAGGGATACTGGGATCAGAGGTGGTGGAGAATGGGCACTGGTGGAGGGATGGGTACTCGATCATTGTATAACTGAAACCCAAGCACAAAAATTTGTAAGTCTACAACTGTACCTCATGGTGTTTCACTAATAAAAAAAATTTTTAGTGGGAAAAATAAACCTCTAAAAACCATAATGTGGGGAAAAGTCTGAGATGAAGTATATTGCATACCAGAGAGCTATGGGAATAATTTAAGAAGAACCATATAAAAAATCATCAGAGTCCTTAAAGAACAGGAAGGCAAATTCAATTAGGAACTTGTAGTAACTTCTACTTGAAATCATTGATATGAATTTTCCATACTTGGGGAATGCAAGCACCAAAATCCAAGAGAGCTCAGGGTTCCAGTGAAATAGACTAAAATAGAAAAAAAACTTCAAAAGGCTGGAGTGATAGTACAGTGGGTAGGGCATTTGCCTTGGACGTGGCCAACCCAGGTTTGATTTGCCTTGCATACTGATGATCTAAGTTTGCTACCCTTCATCCCTTATGGTCCCCTGAGCACCACCAGGAGTGATTCCTGAGTGCAGAACCAGGATTAACCTCCGAGCATTGCTGGGTGTGACCTGAAAAGAAAAGAAAAGAAAAGAAAAGAAAAGAAAAGAAAAGAAAAGAAAAGAAAAGAAATTCCAAGATACACGATAGTCAGAACAACAAAAGTCAAAGACAGAGAGAGAATATTGAAAGAAGCAAGATCAAGGACCTCTGGGTGTGGTCCAAAACCAAACAAACAAAAAGCTAGTTTAAATTGGATATTATCTATACTTATGCTTATAGTTTGACAGACTGAAATATAAGAAGTAAATGAATATGCCCATTGTCACATAAATGAAAACCTACAGACACAGTTCTAGAAATTTATCCCTATGGCATGTAATTGTGCCATCTTTTGGTTGTTGCTCTTTAAAATCTAAAATTATAGCATGTGTATAGTTGAAGAATAATATCCATGGCCAGGGGAAACAGTGGTTAGGAGACTGGTCAATGGTTGAAACTAACCATTGTGTGGGGCTGAGGGTAGGGTAAGACAGTGAAGAGACCAGTATGACAATACTAGCTGGGAATAATCACACTGGACAAGATCTGAGAGTTAAAAGTAGGTAAGGGATATTCTTGATAACATTTCAGTATCAATATTGTGAAC